TAGAATGGATTAATGATTTTCCCCCATCTTAGCTGTGTGTATGCATAGGTATTTGGAAATTATGGAAAGGCATCTACGTAACTTATAGATACATATTACCACATGATTCATATCAAATATTTGTAAAACATTTGGTGTTTTTTGAATTCAAAATATATCTGCAGTTAATTTTATGAAAATGTATACACGGGTCAATAAAAACATGCTAGATGTAATTCTGTGATTTCAAATTATAACAGGATAGTAATTTAATGCAAGGGATACAGTTTGTATTCCAAGGCATTTTTTCGGTTTTTTTTTACATCTTTTCAAGTGGACTGATCATGTTCTGAGGTTGCTATCATACAATTGAACCCACAGGCATTTAGGAGTGCATAACAACACACAAGATTTTATATTTCAGCAGGGAACTGCTTCAATGTAAGGGTAGGTTTCTCAACACCCCTTCTTCCTCACCGAGCCCATCAGTGAAGTTCAGTGAAATGAATAACATAATTGGTGGTTGGTTCAATCACTACCAGTCTAGACTAGCCCAGACGCATCAATTAGAGGGGGCTGTCTTTTAAAGGGAGAGTGCAACCGAAACAAGCAGAGCATTATTGATACTGATCTTTAAAAGTGCAAATCCAGCTTGGCAGATAAAAAAAAAAAAAAGGCAGGGAATTTGGAGGGGGTGCGTTGGGCGAAGAAAAGAGAAAGAAGTGAACTGGAGCTTTCAGACACAGAAGGACAGGAAGCTGAGAGAAAAGGAGGGGATAATGAGTGAAATGCAATGCAGCACCTCCTTGGAACACAGTTACAATTCAGTTCACAAGGCATACTGGTTCACCATATTTTTAACTTCTTTCTTTATTCCTTTTTTGCCTCTATTTCCTAAGAAGTACCAGCTCAAAACTAGTACAGTTGGAAATTTAACAGCTCTAGGAAGCTCTAGTGAGAATAAAACCAAGTTATACGAACCAGCCCAAACTCCTTTCGCAACATTTTTTTCCCAAAAGAAAAGCACAGAAGATGTTTATTTTTGAGTCTTTCATCCCACCTTTTTAAAAAATCAACCGTACAAATGAACAGCACTCATTTTAAATCCAGCACCTGGGAATTAATTTTATGGGCAAGACACCTTTAGGTATACAGTTCATAGTTTTCTGTTGAATACAGTAAAATTATGAAGAATGTAACAAAGGCTTTGGTAATCTGGTGGTGGGGAGGCCGCTGATGGATAAAAGACAGATGATTTAGAAAGCGTTAGGAACACATCAAGCCCCAGGGAAAGAAAATGTTTGATTGGTATTAATTAAAACACTGCTAATATATTCTAATAAAATCAAATTTAGCATTCTAAACTAATCCGCTTGCATGTCAAAGGAAAAGTATTATCTTATTTGCATCTCTGCAATCCAAAGGTACTTGCTCATTCAGCAGAATTAATTTTTATCACCAGCCTGTTTAATCTCCTCACAGATTTAGTCAAATTTATCCTTTCAAACTGAAAATCAGGATCAGGGTAGAGAATCCATAAAGGTATTGGGAAGACTACTGACTGTATTTGGTACTGGCTTTATATTATATGATGTTCTTTTCTCATCACTTGCTATAATGAGGTATGGGGAAAATGCTGAGACTGCAGCAAGAATGATGAATGGTTAATTTTTCCTCTTTCTCTCCTACCTACCAGGTTATTTAGACATTTCAGTTGCCAAATTATAAGACGGGCATTTATTTACATGACTGATGTTGGTCTGTTGATTAATATCTCATTTATTTCTAAATTCAGAATCTATTTTATTACAAATTCCTAATGAAAGGAAAAAAATAAAAGGCTCTTAAGCCAGAAACCAATTGCCTTTGCTCAATTATTTTCAACTATAGACCTAAGAGAAAGTGGGGAGGTGAATGTAAAATTTTATTCACTAAGAACTGAGTCCTTTGTTTCCTTTTTAAGTCAAAATTTCAACAGAAAAATTCAGGCTTTTATGAAACAGTGAGTTTTATGCTCTTTATTGTTAAACTCTCACAATGGATAAAATTGTCCCCAAATGACATCATAGCCAAAATGTTTCTCCTCTCGTTAGTATCCCTTGACTGTGATATCATATGTAAATATGTGCCTAACACAAAAAAAAAATGAATGGGCTAAATACATCGAGGACCACATTTGAATATTTCAAAAGTGAGGAATTCTGCGCACCATCAGGGAGATGTAAACTACTGACCCGACTACTGACGATACTGCCTCTTTGCTCCATTGCCTTTTTCAGTTCTCCACGTAAAAGAGCAATCGCAGTTCGGTTTCACATGTATTGTTCTATAATCCAAGCAATAAATGCTAATTAGTAATGCTCAAAGATCCGACCATTCAGAGTAATTATCATAATTTACTTCTTCCTTGTTAAAGACATTCCTTGCTGATTAAAAAAAATTAAATTGTCGTTTTACCATTGCACTGCAGTGGAAATACACTGGAGAGATCAAGGTATCATCATACCGTTCTGGCTGCATTCAAAGTCACTGACATGTGCCTCTCAGCTCATTCCAAATGGAATTGCAACTTAATTTCTAAAAAGGAATTCTTGTAAATACATAAAGTTTTTACATGTGCACCAGGAATGTATGATTTTATTTTACAAACCCCAAGGCTCCTCCTTCCTGGCTCACCCCCTTTCTAAAACAACTTACTGAGCAGAACAAAGGAAACTGCTAACTATAGAGGCGTCATTAAGTGTGAACAGCAACAGCATGATAAAGTATGTGATATGACAACATATTTCATTGCACAAAAGTGAAGATAATTAAATAATTCAATAGTAACCCAGACTAATTAGCAGAAAGATCTTTATGAGGAAACAAGAAAATGGATCCAATCAACTTGAATAATATGCTCCATTCTCCAAGATCACAAATATGTATTTGGTTATTTGATGATTGGTTGATTCATACAGAAAGATGAGCACAAAACCCTGTTCCTCAAAACGGAGCTTTGATCTGGTATCCTCTTTAGGGCAAATTAATCATAATTTTTATAAGAACGGAATTTAATGAAGTATTGTTTCTTTTCAATTAAAGATATAATCTACCATTCGCCTGCACGTTTCTCTTTATCAGTTGATCTAAAATATAGTCTAAAAATTTTTCACCCGCTTAGCTTTTCATATCGTTGCCTGAGAATATACTATATAAAGCACCCCCCCCCACATTTTATAATAAGGCTCATGTTTAAGTTTGTTTCTTGTTTCTTGAAGCAAATAAGGATACTATGTACAGAAGAAACAGAATAAAAAAACATGCTGAATATTATATTTGGTGGAGCCCTTCCCTTCCTTTATCTATCAAGGTAATATTCCCAGTGTTCATTGTTTATTGGTCCTTCAAGGGAGAACTTCAGCTTTTACTTGAGGGTTGTAAGCACATTAGGGCAATAATTCGCTTTGGATACTCTACAGAAGGAGCCACCTGCAAAATGTTGATGCTGTTATTGAAATCTCAAGTGGAATCAGCTTTCAAAAAATTAGATATTAGATACATCCGATATAATTTGCAATGTGTAATTATACTAATGTGCATATAGTTGTGTGTTGCTTTACATATTGCCTACTTGAGATTTTTTTCCCCCTTCGGCATTTCTCATTTGAAATGGCTCCTGAGTAGAATTTTAAAGTCAGCTTTCAAAAAAATTGTTTTTGTTAATTAATATAAGAATAAAAGGACTTTATGGTCCATGTTCTCATGCAAGCATGAATGTGTGTATCCTAGATGTTGGCAATGAAGGATCTCTAAAAGAGTTATCATTGTGAATACTTTTGCATTATTTGTAAAATATTTGCTACTTTTTACTGATTTAATCTTCATCCTAACTTTGGATAACTTGAAGTAATGGAGAATATTAGAATAGTGAATATTATTCATAAGAAATCCATTTCCTTTATTAGAATAATGAGATAAAATGCTAGGGAAATGGCCTTAGGCAGAGATAATAATTTTAATTTAATCTAGGTAATCAAAATCATAGCCATAATAGACAACTTCTTTTCTATTTTTCCTCCATTTTGCATGGCACATGATGAGTAACTGAAACTGTGCTTTAGATCACATATGTAGTAACTCCCCTTTTGGGGTCTCAACATGGTGTGTCCTTGGATTGGAGAGTCCCCCTCCAAGGACCTGAACCCTTAAGATCTAGCTATTAAGGAAAAATCCAGGCAGAGCAACAGTGAGTTGATTGGTCAGCCTGGCTATTGGCACTTGCTATGTGCTCAGTAGGTGAAGATATTCCTGATGCAAATTCCGAGAATCATCACAATCATTTCACAGAGGGAGCCTGAGCAAGGCAATGCAAAGGTCCCAATTTATGCTTATACGTTCAGGAGTAAAAAAGGATTCCACGGGAGGCTCATGTTGAGATGATACAAGGTACTACTCATTCCAATTAAGTAGGCATCAGCCCCAAAGAAAGCTGATTTGTTAAACATTTGACTCAGACACCTCAAGTATGGTGGTTCACTTATTTATACTATTTATTCTTCAAATTCATTTTAAAAATGAATTTATCATGGTCCACATTATAAAAGATGTTTTGTGTGGGCTATATCTGTGATACACCTAAGCAATGCATTGGTTTACTTTTCATCTGCTCATGCATACAAGGACTTTCTATTATTAAGCTATCCAAAGGAATCATGAAAAAAATTGTATCAAACATCTTTCCTTAACATAATAGCATTTCAATTTATTCACAAGTGAGTCTTACACATGTGGAGCAAAAGCTTAGCACCCCACCCTCCCTGTCTATGTTCACAAAATAATGAATTCTAAAATCTGTAAGATGTATATTTATTTATTCTTCCAGGATCAGTTATTGCATATTTGGTCAGATCAGAACAATACCTGTTAACAATACTTAACACTAGGTTATTTTGCAGGTTTTAGAGGGGAAATGTATTACACCTGCCATCTAAAGAGCCAACATCTTTAATGTATCCAAAGTGCTTAGGGCAGAGAACAGAGATATGTGTGGCAGCACACCCCTTTCGGTGTATACCTGACTCATTATGCATCTCCATTGTGCTAGCTTAATGAAGAGGCTGACAATAAAGGGTTTAGTTAAATTAAAATCCACCTGCAAAGTATATTTCATTCATAACAACTTTTGTATAATAAAAGAAACATTAATACAGCTCTCCCCAAATATCCTTATCTGTAAAATGAGTGGGTTGGATTAGCTGGTCTCTAAATTCTCTTACAGCTTTAAGAATTTCTGAAGCTATTCTAAAGTAGATGTACAAGAACAACTTCAGAACCCTTGAATCCAAAGTCTATCTGTACCAACAGTTGCCCTTTAAAGTTATATTTGATTCCACCTCCAGGTACTGTATTTACTACCACGTTATTGCATTGATGCTAAAACAGTAAAGACTGAAGTTCATTTTTAGGAAAGTCAGTGACAGAAAAGAGGAACAGCTGAAGAATGAAAAAAGCTACCCAGGGAGAGAAGGACATTCTTGATCTGAGTTCTAAGCCCATTTCCTTCAACGTTAATACAGAAACCCAGGCAAACACCTGCCTTTCTATTTTAAGACCATATTCTTTAGTCCTTATGCTTTCATTTAATTCTTTACTGTATGGTTTGTTTTCTCTCATTGGGTTGACGCCTTTGAGTTTCACTTTTCCCTTTTCACTTGATTTATTTCAATCATGTTAAATATTCCCTTCAAAAGCCTACACTAGTTATATTAACACACTGCACTTCCCAAATTGAATCTTAATATCCTCAAAACCTCCTGAAATTTGCCCCACTCCATTTTCTACAACCACTCAAATGTATAATCACTTTCTGAATTAAGCAGACCTGCGTTCCCTGGCTTCTAAGTCTTTGAACATGCTCGCATGCTGCTTTTCCACTTTGCACACTCTATATCTCTCTGCCTCTTCTTCATTTCAGAATCCTTTCTTTTCTTTCCCTCCCTCCCTCCCTCCCTCCCTNAGCACTTTTTCTAGGATGAGTTCGTGAACTTAATTGTCAGGCGTGTGTGTGTGTGTGTGTGTGTGTGTGTGTGTGTATACACATACAAAACAATATAGTTGTTGTCTGTATGTTCTTGCAATAATTAGATTCTGTTGCTTTTATCCTAAATATCCACAAATATACCAGACTCCTTTCTTCTGTTCTTTCTCTTACTCATGTACATCAGTCCCTTTCATACTACATTCATATAGTTAGGTCAGTTAAAACACACACACACACACACACACACCACTGTTCAGCTCTTTTTAGGTGAGCTTTTGTAAAATGACCTGAGATGAATTGAATTGTTGGCTATGTTAATGTGGGTGGCAGAGGTGTGGGGGTGTGGAGATGCTAGCAGCAGACATCTGGGTTTTTAGTCCATAACATGAGATAGAATTGTATTTTGATATGAAAAAAAAAAGTCAAAAGAATGAGAGAGGCCAAAGAAAGGATATGGTGGTGGCCAGAGATGATACAAACTATGAGACACAAAAACATTTTAGACATAAAATTTTGAAGAAGGGAGAAGAAGAGGTGTTTCAAATGATGATGGGGGTTGGAAAGCAATTGATGGGTCTTTGAAATCATACCAGGAACCAAGAGCCAAGGGCAGTGGCAGAGCAGAAGTCTAGGTAGGACAATTAAAATGGAAATCTGACTCCTTCCTGCGCAGCATGGATCAGGGCTACAGAATTTGCTGCGGTGGGAGGTGGGCCGGTCTGGCACTGTCTATGGGTTTGAAAGGAGCTGGGAGGGTTGGAGAATGCCAGTCAGCCTTTGTAGTTCTGAGCTCAGAGAGGGGGTGGCAAATACTGGGCTTCAGGTAAGAAGTCTGGGTTGGGGTGGATTTTGGAAAAAAATTTCTCTTTGCTTCCAAACTCTTAAAGCGTGCTCATCACACCACTGGCATCCAATCTCAGCATAAAGATGTGTCCTGGAGGCCATCCTCCAGCAGAGATTTCAGGCAGTAGTACCTGTTGGCTGACTAATGAAGTCCTTTCTCTTTCCAATTCCCTAGAGACCATTAACTTGGCTGAATACAATATCATTGCATATTTCCCTTCACCCTTCCCACATGCTTCACATCCCCCCAGATCCCTAGGGTTAATCCCCAGGACAACTCCTCTTTGAAAGAAAAAATGTGGTGAGCTACTTGAAAGTTTGGATCCTGGAGGCCTCTGTCTATCCTGCCTCAGCCAGACTCTAGAGAGCCTGCTCAAGGAGATGGACATTTTTCGAGACAAAAGCAGTAAGTTTTTGTTGTTATTTGTTTTCCGGGCTTGGTTGCTCTCAAAAATCGGGGTCCCTGACAACATGGGGTTTCCTTTTCTTTTTCTTTCTTTCTCAGCAAAAACAGCATTCCCTTACCATCCTGGGGGTGATTCATAAAAGCAATTGAATTGGAAAGTGCTTCTTCATTGCTGCTTATACCCTGGGTTAAAGATATCTGACTTGATCTGGGTGTGCCTATTTTCAACACTATAATATTTTTAAATGTATCTGCATTTGTTAAAATAATTTGTACTGATTGTTCTTCTCCAGAATAAATAATATATAACTGGCTGATTGATTGTAATTATGATTAATTTGTCCCAGGGCTTGCATGAATGTCTTTGGGGGTTTTTGTGCATATTTGCTGCTCCTCAAAGGGAAAGATAGACTTTGGAAGGAGGGTGTGGGCCGGCTGATTCAGCTTCCTGGCCCACCACTGACTCTTTCCTTTTGCTCCTCCCTCTCCCCATCTCCTATCCTGGCTCCTCAGATCCATCCTGAGCCAGCTGTCAAGGAATTAGCATCTACCTTTCCTTTCTATTACAGCCTGTGTTAGATTCGGTCAGGGAGGAGACCAGTCCTCATAATTAAACTCATTAGATTTGTGACCTCAGCATATTTTCAAACCAGGATGTAGACCAGACAATTTCATGTACTCCCTAAACTTCTTCCATCCTGGAATTATTAGCCAAAATAATAATAATAATAATAATAATAATAATGATGATAATACTATATTTAGAAGCTCTCTAGCACATTTCATCTCTGAGAGCCTTACAGATGTTAACTAATTAATTTTCACAGCACTCTATACAAGAGAGGTAAATATTATTAGCCATGATAGCATACACATATGGATATGCTAAGAACAGCAGAACAGTTCACTTATTTATCATGGTTCACTCAATATAGTAACTGGTATTTTTAAAACACCCATCATAGATACAATAATTAGAGATGTGCTTTTGTTAACAAAACCACTACCTACTTCTAGCGTACCCTTGGGTACTAAATAATTACCCACTTTGTGTGGTTATCTAGCTCACTAATTACCCACAGAAATTGGGGTCAGGTGTTAACTGCTTGAAATAAGTATCCTCCAAAGACAGCACTGAGTTGTATAGAGAAAATGATATGTTCATAGCAAAACTTTCATAACTCATATATTTGTATATTTTTGTAAGCAGAGTGAATACAGATGGGGCAAATTAGCTTAGTATGTGAAAATCCTGCTGGACTATTACTGCAAATACATAGAGGTTTAGGAGAGTCTCAGTCAATTTCATTCTCTGTTTATCTTTCCTTTTTGAAGATGAGGGCAGTAATATGATTCCCATAGCCTGGCCTTCATATACAAGTACATTAAGACAATTGATGATTCTGCTTAGGAATGACTCATTTGGGCATTACAGGGAGGCACCCAGTGAGTCAATGAGTTTGGTTTCTTGGGGTTTTTTTTTTGACAGCTCCACCCTTTATGATTATTCTAGCATGTTTCTTTTTCTCCATCAGTCTAGGGCAAACACCTTATTAGCCAAATCTGAAAAAGATTCTAAGCCAGTCACCAACTCCTGCCAACCATCTTTTTCTCCTTCCCAATAATGACAAAAGAGAAAAAAATGTATTAAATGAAATCCAACACTATAATTATAGATCTTTCTCTTTTTGCCTCCATTTNTTCCTTCCTTCCTTCCTCTTTCCTTTGTTCTTTCTTTCATTGAGCACCATGTGTCATGCTCTGAGCCAGGCACTACAAATACAAGGAACTGACATTAATTCCTAACAATTCTCATGACTTCATTCACTCTTGCATTGCAAAGCACTTATGAATCCACAATTATTTTATTTTGCATTTAGTCTTCAGATATTTGAATGTGTCCTTAATGTCCTGTGTTCTTTTCTTGTTTTCCTATGTGTCATATTTCAGTAAGTAACCTGTTGGATAAACCTGAAGCTTATCTTATGAAGCATTTTCTCCCTGAGTGATTAGTGCAGTGCCCTCACACACACTCAAGCAATGCCATTGCTCCTCTGATCCTTGAGTGAGGTAAACATGAGAAAGAACTACACTTATCTGGTGATTCAGCATTTCACTTGTAATTAGAGCATGGTGCCAAAGCATCATTACATTTACCTATTTTTATTAAAGTTTCAATGTGATAACTTTCTGTGACATGTTCTGTTATTTTTTTAGTTGTGTTGATGTTCCTTTCAGCGGGTCCTATAGCTCCCCCCCTCAGGGATGTCTCCCCAGTGAAAGGCCAAAGACTGCAGAGAGTGCTGCACCAATGGACGCTCAAGCCAACTCTGAAGTTGAAACTAAGCGAACACCTGAAGACACTTCTCCTGCTCAGCAACACACCCAAATGGTGCAGTTTCAGCCCACTGAACTCTCAGAACAAGAGACAATCTTTTCAAGAAACAGAAAAACTTAATAATGACATCTAGATTTTGAATGAGCCAAGGACTTTCCCTTCCTCATGTGTATTCCTCTGTTTGTATTTAAAGTCAGCACAACATTCATTTTTCAAAAGTCTTCCTGATATAAGTATGCTTATCAATGCACCAATTTTTAAAATAGAAAATTGCACAACTGTGTTAGTGTTTTAAGAACAAAATTAATGCTATAAGTAGATTGATTTTTAGCCACTCACAGAGTTTGGTCTTAAGAATGATCTAAAGAATATAAAGTACTCTTGAAATAACAAAGTAGTCAGAGGCAATTCAAAAGATAAAATAATGGTGGAAAGTCATAATGCAGCATAGAAATACCACATTATCCCACCTGACACTAACCAATGAACCATTCTTTTTATTAAGCAGGCAAGGTTCTGTGAGTTATGGTCACTGCCTCTAAGCAGTTTAAATCTATTTAAACAGTGGTACATAAACTTTTGAAAAGATAAGCAACAAATGGGATCAATAGATAAGACCAAAACTAAAACAAAACAAATGATATAAACAGGATACTAAGAGGAGGTCACCATAAATTGGACAAAACTTGTCTCTTTTGGGAAGAAAGTTCCCCTAAGGAGGAAATTATAAAGTGAATCTTAAAGGATGTTAAAGATTTAGATAAATGGAAAGGAAGGTGAAAACAGAGCCTTTTAGACAGATGCAATATTGTGTAAACAAAGTCATGGAGGACATAATCTACATGGTGAGTTTAGGGAATTATTGATGCACACACATCTAGTTGGCTTCACTCCAGACATTTAATGACAATGTATATGAACATACGGTCAAGATTCCACACATACACTCCCCCTCTCCCACCCCAGGCATCACCTAGAATTATAATTGTATTTCTTTGCCATTAAAGCAAATGAGAGTGACTGGTAATAATATGAGAACTTGGGATTTTTCTGTTAATTTAATAATAATTGGTATTTATCGAGTTCTCACTATACATTAAACATTTTATATATTAACTCACTTAAACTGACAAATAGGTATTATTATCCCTATTTTAAAGATAAAAAACTGAGGTTTAATCAGGTAAAGTGACTTGCCAACCTGCCATATACAGGGTTCGCATTCAGAATTGCAATTGCAAAGCTCATATCCAAAGCATTAAGCCACAATATTGCAATCAATGTCACTATATTACTACTTCTAATACTTCTTGATATTTTTTTAGGTAAACAAATAGCTATTTAATTTAATTAGCCCCTCAATTTTTTTGGTTTTCTGATTAAATTATACTAGACTGATAGATTATATTTTTGTGATAGAGAATTGGAAAATTATATATATATATGTATATATATACATATATATATGTATTTACCAAATATATTAGGTTGTCGGAAAAGTCATGACGTATTTTTTCTGTTTTTTGTTGCAAAAATGTGTCATGACTTTTCTGACAACCCAATATATATAATATTATATATATAATATATATGTAGCCAATAAAATGTATACACATTTTAAGAAAGGAAAAAACTATATTAAAATTGTAATACAATGAATGACGCTAGCATTCATTTGATTAGCGCCATCTTTTGAGCGAACGTCATACTACACATTGCTACCATAATTCAACTTCGAGAAGTAATATGTAGATAACATCACTTAAAATGTGTATATTTTTTGGCACCCCCGGTGTGTGTGTGTGTGTGTGTGTGTGTGTGTGTGTGTATTTGTGTGTATTTATTTTATATATATTTATTATATATCCCGGTGTGTGTGTGTACTTATTTATTTTATATATATTTATTATACATATTTATTTTATATATATATATATATATATATATATGTATATTTGCCAAACTGATGAGATTCTCTACCTTGGTCTGAATGCAATCTCAAATTCGTGAAAAGAAAAACTAAGGGGGATGGGAGAGCTTAAAAGCCATCTATTGCAATGTCCTTTTCTGTAGATCAAATAAATCCATAAAGTTGGGGGACTTATGGAAGGGCACACATTTGAGTGTGGCAGAGCTAGATCCAGAAACCAGGCTCTCCAGTCTAATGTCAGAGGCTCTTGAACTACTCCACCCTGCCTAAATGAAGTATGAACTTGAATTTGGTCAGTGAAAACATTTTATCTGAGTGACCTGGGAGCATTGTACCGGGTAGATTGCTTCAATTTTGCACCTCTTTGGCTTCTCACGTTAATGTGAAAAATAGCTAGCTATGAACTAACATCTTTAGATCCAGAAATTGTCAATGGTATGTCCCCGAAAAATGCATAATGGTCCAAGTTATGTGTGCAGTGTCTTCAATGATATTCTTAAGTTATTGGGAATTCTAAGTTCACCTAAGCAAATCAGATCTTTTAGTGAGTATTTTCTTAACCAATTTTGTGCACAGTATGTATTTAGAAGTGCTTCTGCATAAATATTTATATATAACTGTTTCAATAGTCCTTATGTTTTTGAAAATATCAATGGTTATTTGCTATTTTAATCCTCACTTCCCCATATAACTAACTCAAGAATACTTCAGCCATAAAAAGCCAGAATTGAGGAAATCTCAATCTCCTTTACCAGCCTCTTTGCATTCAGTTGGCATTTAGTAATGATTAATAACGTAGTCAGCTGGATGACACAAAGATTCAAAATACAATTATGTCTTCAAGGAGTCAGTTAAGCTGGGCCTGCTTAAGGATGAACATCTAGATGTTTGGAAGTACCTGAATATATGACTTGTAAATTTTCACCTAAATATCTGGCACTGTCAGACTTGGATTTCGTCATGGCTCAGGTGGTCCTGTTTTCAAAATGATTATTGGCCATATTTCACACAGTTCTCATTAAATGAGTTCATAAATAAACAGGGTTTTTTAAAGAGTAGCCAAGCACCAAATGTGACTTTGATGACATTTTTTGAGACTTTGTCATATGTCCCTGAACCTCCAATAAAAGTAATATTGATTGCATCAACTGTGAACTTGTGTCGATTTCTTGGAAGAACATACTGTCATGATTTGTTTTTACTAGTGTGTATCAAAGCTAGCTTCAGGATCCATTAGGAGCAAATAATCTAATATGATGGGAAATTTTTAATTTAGAAATAATTTCTAAGTGATCCCATGTCGCCTTTCAATAAATATGAATATCATCTACCCAAGTCAGAAACCAAGGTGTGATCTTTGCCTGTTCTCTTTTCATCTGTCACTGCCAGTCAATCAGGTAAATCCTTTCGAGTTTTTCTTCTTCCTATTTTCAAATATGTCTACTTCTCTCCACTTTCTATGTGACTATAATTAAGACAATCCTCATTTCTCATCTGGACTACCGCTTCATGTCTCCAGTTTTTCCCTCCACACTGCCAAGTGGCAGCCAGGGAAATCTCTTTAAACCACAAATATGATCATATCATTCACAGTTTCAAACTTTTCATTGGATTTCCAATGCCCTTAAAGTATCATGACACCTAACATCTTTTGTATCCTGGATGCTGGCCCAACATTCATCTCTGGACTCTTCAAGTACCTTTTTTCCACAGTTTTTCCACATTCTTGCTCTACATCTTTGTCTTGGGGTCTTCTCACACACTGAAACCTCTGTTAGTACTCTCTCCACTGCCCTTTCAGATTCCATCTCTTGTACTTCAGGTCTCATTCTAGAAGTCATTTCCTCTTGGAAGTGTTCACAACCATCTGCCATTACTCCTAAGACTAGCTTCTTTATAGGTGCTTTCATAGCATTCTGTGCTTGCCTCATGTTAGCATGTATCACACAGATTATGACAATTTATGTGCCAGTCTCCTCCATTTGAATATGTGATTCCAAAACTGCTTCATCTAATACAGTAGCCACTCACCATATGTGGCTACTTGAATTTAAATTGATAATATTAAATAAAATTTAAAATGTAATTTCTCAGATACTGGCCACATCTTAAGTGCTCAATAGCCACATGCGACTAGTGTTTACCCTCTTGAACCTCACTGATAAAAAACAATTTCATCATCAAGAAAGTTTTAGTGGACAATACTGTTTTAAAAGACAGGTACTGTGTTTTGTTTGTCACTTCATCCCCTACACTTGCAGTCTTTCTTAACTGGAGTTTGTCATCTAAACTACAGAGAAAAAAAAATTTTTTTTTGACTATTTTCTCAATTCTTTCAGGGATAATATATAACTAAAACTATACTATAAGCATAGGAAGTAAATTAATTCATTACATGTAAAGATGCCCAGGGTATTAAGGTTTAATTTTAGCATAAAGCCCTCATTGAGAAGGTCTACAATAGTTTATCACAGTGCTTGACACGAGGTACATACTTCATAAATATTGACTGAATAGGATGAATGACACATCCAGATACTTAAAACATTACATTTTATTTATTTCCATCTAGATGTATGGAGTCATGTAGGAGACATGTCTTTAGTTTCCAAAGGGTCTCCCCTCTAGAGGATATGATGATAGATGATTTCCTTACTTCATTCCAAAGATAGTCGAATTGTATCACTGTATCACTTCCCATTATATCACTCTTCTTCATTGTTTACACTGGCAAACAAAAACAGAGAATTGAGCTCTTATTCAATTAACAAAATCAAAATGAAAATGATCAAAGTAGAAACTGGATTTGATAAGTCCTATTTCTCTTAGGGATTGGCCAAAGTTTACTAAAACTGTTTATTTCCTGAGTACCTACTATGTACAGGGGCTTTGGTAGGTCCTGGGGATATAGGAAGGAACAAGATAGATGCAGTTCTTGTGCTCATAGTAAAGTAACATTAATATCATTATTTCAGTTACTTTTCCTGCATTGTACCCAAAGCAGAAGCTCTCAACCTTGGCTGCACATTGTAACTACTTGGGGAATTTAAAAATACTGATGCCTGGGTCCTTCCTCAAAAGACTGATATAATTGGTGTGGGGTGTGTCCTGGGAATTCTGATTTTTTTAAAGCTCCCCAGGTGATTATAATATGCAGCAGAAGTTGAGAACTATAAACCTATAGGGTCATAATCTTAGAGTAAACTCAGAGATTAAGAGCTTTTGGTATTGATAATTGATTGCATATTAAAACCAAAAAAGAAACTTTAAACTTCTCTTTAACATGCCTTCATTTTACTTTTTATTCCTCAGACTACAAGCTAATAGTTAAGCATTACTGAGTTGTTGAGG